GAAAAATTTGTTCGGTTATCACTTCGCGTATAAAATGCTTAACACGTTGTGCACCAAATCATTTTGTACATTTCACGATAATTACAGTGCTGAAAATGCTCGGTTGCTGTTTTAACAAGTCAATTCCATATTTGATGATAAATTGAGTTATTGTATCCTCATAAAGTGTACTGCCGTAATGATAACCATTTAACATGTTCTCAACGTACAAGGAAGTACAATTTGATTATCATTTAATGTGTGCACGTCTTTAACGATCCTAACCATCAGATCAATGCATGCAAATAGTAAAACGAAAACAGCTATATTCTACAGTCTGCTGTCTGTGTATCACGCCATGAACACATTACTTCCTGCACAGCACCATTCTCATAATCTACTATCATTTTCTGACGAACCCTTTGGCTTCCCAGCATACAAATCGCCTAAATCACCAAACAAAACATCTCTAGGTTTAAGACAAGTATGGCAAGACGCTGGCATAAATTATCAGTAGACACATAACGCTTTTTGATCAAATGTACAGGGATGATAATCAGATCAGTTCTAATCTTCTTCTCGTGCCCAACCTAAGGACTACCAAAACAGCCATGAGCATCTTTCCAATGAATTATTAAGTAGAACATGCAGTCTGATGCAATAAGGATTGGTAGAAATATTTTTATTTTGAGTCACCGAATCAATAGTGTATTTTACAGCTGGTTTGTGGCATCAGAAGAATATTCTCTTCACCAGATAAATATTAGACAGGCATATTACAAGGAAAACACACAAATTAACGTAGAAAGTATCGGACCACAGCTTCTTATCGAAATAGTTAAATTTTTTTTGATATACACTGCCGAAAAGTTTCGAAAAATCGGCTAGGTTTGCTATACTCTCGACACTTTCTTTTTCATCGACAATATTTTTTAGACACTTATCCTTGCTATCGAATATCCTGTAAAGCCATTCTTCATACACCTTGACGTTCACGTTGTATGTCTCCTTTCCAAGCGCTACATTGTAGGTATCATTCATCGACTCATCCACGGTGTGTTTATCTTCGATCTTTCGTTCTATCTTGTTTTTGATATTCTCACCGAACGCTGCTTCTTTTTTCCTACGTATTGCGTTGTGCTCGCTGATCAGCTTCGTTATCGCGTTTGAAATATCGATCAAGTCACCAGACAGGTTGTAGTAAAGCAGATCAAGATCGGGATCGGAGAGGTTCTGCAGGCCGTACAGTATTTGATCGCCCTTCTGGTAATTTTCTAGCTTGATAACTCCCACTATTCGACGGGCATCAACGTTCTTTCTGCTTTTAGTCTTCACGCTTTGCACATTTTCTTTATTCTTGCATCCTGTGTTCTCGTTCTCTTTGTTTTTTTCCTCCTCGCCGCTACTTTTATCATCGCATAACCTCATCTTTCTGTCTTTGTCCGCCTCCTCGACGTGATCCTTGCTGTTGAACTCGTTAATTACTTCCTTCAGCACGTCTATCTGGCGCATCTCCTCGTTGCTGTTGCAGAAATTCCACACTTTGATAATTACGTTTCTGTCCTTGCACTTCTTGTACACCTCTCTGCAGATGCTCCTCACCTTTATAAAGAACATCACCTTCCCAAAGAGATGGGCATCTCTCACCTCGCAAAGAAATATCGTGCTGTCTATGTCCATGTGCTTTCCCAGACTAACCATGAACATATCCTTGAATGCTACAAGCGATCGGTCATTTGTAACCAAGAATGCCAGAATTTGCACACAATAGTATAGAGAACGTATTCGTTTGCTTTTTTACTATTTTTACCAGAGCTATTTTTGACACATACTCTGAAAGAGGGAGGAACACAAAAATATAGCTTATTCATTGCCCACATTCCGGATTAAGCATCATAAACACAACCTGCGCACCACCGCCATCCACTACATGATTTGTGGTCTTTCACACATCGTCATACCTATTTTCACCTTCTTCTTGTCCATAGCCTGCATTATCTCGTCAATCCTCGTATCTTCCATTCATTTTCGTATTTCATTTCCCATAAATTCAACGCAGCTCACGTTTTTCACGTTTAGTGAACACTTGTGGTTTTACGTCACCTTCAAAATGACAAGCACATCATTCTTTCTCTTGTATAGGAAGCATACGATCATGCCACAAATAAACTTCTTCTGACCAGTTCAGTTAAACGTTGTTGATTGATTTTGACCTGGGTCCGATTATATGTAAAACTCTTTTATGGTGGTTTCCGCTTTTTTGTTTGCTATCGAATATCCTGTAAAGCCATTCTCCATTCATCTTTCCCTTATACTCATCAAGTACAACATAAAAACGTGGTATTCGTTCCGGACTAAAAAGTACGTCACAATAATCGTAATGCTCCGCCAAATACCTTTTGTATGGTGTTATGAAAAGTGTTATATCAATAACTCCATCAATTTCATCCCGTAAAACTTCGTATATCTTGTTTATACCCTTTACCCGTGGTATCAAGCAAAACTGTGGGTTATACAACGTACCATCGATCGCCAGGTTGAGATCTTGGGCATATTTCTGCGACTTTTCGTACGTTTCTGAGTCAAGTATTGTACCCTCGGGAAAGAAAAGCAGGTAAAAATTTTTCTTCTTCTTCAGCTTTTCCAGTCCCTGCGACAGAATGTGTATATCGTCCTGCCACCTCCTTTTCAGAAAAATGTAATCAAAGCATTTCATTCCGTATCCATAAATAGGTAGTTTCGACAAACTATGTTTCATAATTATACACAGCTCTTCATACATTCCCAGTTCATTCAAAACTACAACCATGAAAATCCAATCCAGATTCGTCAGGTGATTTGACACTATCAGACACCTTTTCCTCTTCAAAATGTCTTTGTTATAAGCTACGTAAATAGGATGCGGAAAATATAAGTAGCACACAGATGCTGTCAGGCTTAACCAGTATCCCTTTATGATTTTGGTGAAGCAGGTTCTCGCATTTCTGAATGGCCTCAACACCAGCCTTGTCAATAGCAGAAGTGTTCCTGCATAGAACGATAATGTGAAGTAGAAAACTAGGATTAAGCAGATCTTGATGAAGCAATAAATTCTTATGCACACCATAACCCCTTAAAGTATTTTATTTTCTTAAGTATTTAATTAAAGGATACTTATGGTTTTGGAATGAGGCCGTTTTACCTTTTGCGAACAATGCAATTAGACCGTTGATCAAATTCTGAAACTGTAACACGGTGTGCCAGGTTTTTGTTCCAGACAAGGTACATAAACTGCGTGTAGACCTATCAAAACTAGAAGAACAAACAAATTATCATCTGACACAACTGTTACCGTTACTGATCCACCCACATACCACTACATGCCCAATAACTCATCGAATTCGAGTCCGTGTTGACTCACCTAGCACAGTTATCTGCAAGAATATTTCTCAGCAGTTCGTGTTAAGACCCGATAACTGCTGGCGGATTCTTCTGCAAAAGTACCGGCACTAACAATTGTTTTGAATGCAGTGGTTTCAGGTTCACATGATCCGATCTAACCTCATGATATGTGTGCATCACATAATAATTGCCATGCAGGTATATATCGGGTCACATGCTTGTGCCTGCCAGACAGATCACATTACATCCTTCTAATACAGGCGATCATACCACTTCCATTCGCTTATTGCCAATAAACACGTTGCACGATCTGGGCCATAAGTGGTGTGCCATGATTTGTTCACCCGATCTTATAATTTTTGTTGCTCGTTACAAACAGGTAAATTAAATCCCACCATACTCGAAGCAGATCACACGTTGCCTTTCCATGAGTTGGCTAACAACACTCGGGATCGTTTTTCTTCATTTATATGCTTCATAATGCTATCAAAACGTACGTATTTTGTCACTTGTTCCATTGAACCGCATTATCATACCGTAATACGGGTGGCGATTGCTGGATGGCCGTTATTAGCACATTTCTGTCAAACAAGGAACCGCTCAAGATCACGTGTTTGTGGTTCTTCTTTTTATTAAAAGCACGAAATCTCGAGTATTTAGGTAGATTGGCTGTCGTACTGCATCTTACTCTGACATCAAGGACACGGTGCTTGTATAACAAACACGATTAATACCAGCGTATTGAACAAGTGCACATAAATCACAGCATATAAATAAAATTGATGATAGAACATCCTCGTGCCCAACATTGACATATATAAGCGTATGTAGGTGGATAAACTTGGTTGCTGCAAGGTTAGAGGAAATTGTACGACCCTCTTGTGCTGTGTAGAGCCTAAGTGGGTGCTCAAAGATCGAGAAGCGTTAACTCATTGTGGCAGATACAATACGGTGGAATAGATCGGAGCTGCAGAACCTCGATTTCATTTGAAGAAAGTTTTGAACAATGGTCAACAGTAACTACTGGTATCGCTGTTTTCTCAGGAGGGTCATGCAGACAGTTCTCTAATCCCAGTACGGAATTAGAAAACTGGACAATTGGAATTATGGCAATGAGTTAGGACTGATATAGAATGCCAGGAAGTATATGCAATAGAGTATGTGTGCACATGATGGTGTGGAATCAAGATATTATGGATGATAGCACCTATGTGTTACTTCAATTTTTTATGTAGCATTTACTTGGTTTATAGCAAAGACATTTTGAAAGGGATCAAGTGCTTATTCATTTCAAGCCAAATGATGAGCCTGGATTGAATCGTCATAACAGTCATCCTGGGTGAGTTGGTGTGTACAACGTGTTAGGTACAATTATGAAATACTGCTGTTTTACAAACGATTCATCCTTATCTAGACTAAATTCTTGAACCGAAATATTTGCCGTATTCGACATGAATTTGTATTAGTACTGTTGTTGGTACATTATGACAATTATGTACAGATGGCATATTATCCCCTCTTTGGTACCACCTTTTGTAGCATTTTAGATGTTTAGAAGAAGATATAATATCATTAAGGATATTCTTTATGTGGCTCTTTCAGATGGATGTCTAACAGAATTTAACTGTTAGTGTTACAATCCATTCAACTCAATTTCTACACTATAGTAGCAATGGTCGTAGTAAAGAACGATGAATTTTTATTAGACACCTACCTACCCTACAAACAGAACAAACTTGTTAAAACATCAATACAAATCCACGTTAACCAAAATATTAATAATTCGCGTTATCACAGATTAAATTTTTAATGATTGATTTTTAACCAGTTTAGTTAATTGGTATTAAAACTTAAATCTGCTTTTCTATAGATCAACATTATATGTACTAAGGTTATTATTGATAATATAAAGATTAATGATGTGCTAACTACCTGCTTTATATGACTTATTTATCTGAGCAGAGTTTTCATAAATAGTGTATAACAGAAGATACTCGGATAAAACTTGTGATACGATTGAGTATATACCATGCAATAATATGCTATCATTGTTAAAGTTATTCTTATGGCATGATAGCTTACCATGCAAGAAATGTGAAAATGGAGTTTCTCAAAAAGACAAATGAGTTCAATGGTCCATCAAATCACATTGAAATATTCCTAAAATGCGATATTTGTGTGTAAAACTGGTATATATCGGAAGAAACCAGATAATGTTATGCTTTTGTTCATTTTTATCACCAATTATGTAGATTACATTTGTACCGCGGATGATGCAGTGCCACATAATACGACCCCGAATAAAGAAAAAGTGAACAAAAAGGTCAGATTTGATGATGAACTATTACAAACTTTGGCATCAAATTCTGGCGAGGAATTACGTGAAAACCATGAAAACATAGGAAACGCTAAAACGGAACAGAGAACGATGGTGTCAGAAACGGAAATGATACATGCTGAGATGACGCATTTGCAGGATACGGTTGACAAATTTTTAAAGGATTTCGGTACTTTAGTGCACAGAAACATGTTTGACAAACACATGATGCATTTTAAACGCTGTCTGCCTACGTTACATGTTCGATGGCAATACAAAATGCTGATGGAGATGTTTTTTAACAGCTGGGATTCTTTTTTTAATCAAACTGCAAAAATAGCTGAAATGATGGATAGCCTCATGGAATGTTGTGATAACACCGAGCACGAAGAAAACGCAGAATTTACAAGCGCAAAGATCGATTTTGGTGCGATGATAGATGAAATAGCAGCCTTGGAATCACCAGGTAACGAATGCTCAGGTGCTAGTGCAACTCAGAATAATGCTCATCATGGAACGAATGAAAATGCTCTTGTCTCTGAATATTCAGATATGACTCTCAATATCAAAAAGCGTGTGCAGTATGATGGTTTTACAGATACTACTAACCCAAATTATATGAACATGCCATTTATTACACAGAATAACATAACATATGCCCCAAAAAGTGTTCTTAAATCCCGAAGAAACCTTGATGTCAAAGTAAGCCAGGATCACAAAAACGTCAGCATATTCGATGATTCTTACGATTGCAAAATTTCTCGGCGCAATAATTCGTTTAAATCAGTAGATGACCACGATTACTTACACGACGATAAAAGTTCTGACAGCGAATTGTACGGCATCTTTCAAACCTCAAATAAGGAGGAGGTGATATATGAACAACCGATCGATCCTCTATCACAAGAAGTACATTCTACAAAAAATCGCTCAAAATCTCACGATACCAATTCATCATCTATTTCCTGTAGTGGAATACGAAGCTCAACGAGAATGCAAAAGTTATTAAACTCAAGAAATCGCAATGCCAATAGTGCTGGACATTTGGATGAAAACAACTTTCATGAATGGGTGCGAGAAGATGAGCCAGAAAAAAAAAGTGAAGAGCATCCTATAGCGGATATATTCGGACTATCATCCAGCCTCATGGAAAACACCGCTAAGAGATGGTTGATTCGAGAGAAATCTACAAGGAATAATCGGTTATTTTCCACCTGTTCTCAATCAGACGATTCCGACCACTTTAAAGAGGAGAGCTCCGGCGGCACGATAAATTCATCGGATGTTAAAATGGTCCACGGAAATGAAGCTGCTGGCGGGAGTACCGCACATTGTGATCCTAATAATAAAAAATATGCGAAATCAAATGATACGCTCGAACTAAAGGGAAAAAAATGTCAAATTGTAGCATATATTGGTGATTTGTCTATTGCAGTTAAGGAAATCCCGCAAAATGCAATAGTGTCGGAGAAGTTTTCAGACGTAACCCGGACTACATGTCAGAGGCCATGCGATAGTTATATTGATTATGAAACTGCAACGAATAATGTGTCCATTAACATATATGGTGATTCGCTTGGAATTGATAGTCATAAGAAACACACCTTCGCTTCGTTTATAAACAAAAAAAACCGTTCGCCTGGCAGCATACGAAATATTGAGTTACAAATTCTGAAATCTACATATATCATTACGATCAAGGTTTTTGAATATAAAGCGGTTCTTTTCTACCAAATAAGTGTCAATAAAACGTTCCTACGTGTTCTAACGAATGAGTCGAAATGTATACAAAATAGCACTGTTTACAGAGTGCTGAATGAAAAGAGTATAAGCAACTTGTATTCGCTCTTAAGCACAATATTTAAATCTGAGTCTACAACCTATCACCGTCTATTCGGTAATGATAAAGTATTAGTGTTCGGAATGGATATGTTCGAGAAAATAGCAGACGAAATCTTGTCATACACGCTTAAAACACCTTCAGCTGATTTTTACAAGCTAAAAAAGCAGCAACTATCGAGTATGATCGATGAAACCATGCTCAACATACTTAATTACCTATTTATTGTCGAAAACATGAATAGCTGGTGCGAGTCCATTAAAACCAAGAGACTTTGTCGTATTCTGGCAGGTTTGCTCCTTCTGACAGAAGGCTTTTCCCAGGAGGGTACCAATCAGAAGAACATGCACAAATGTCTGTTAGAGCTGCTTTTCGATTGTAAGAATTTCATAATTCGTGGAGAGAAATAAGCGGATATGATCGAGAAAATAAAAGTATTTGAAAGTAAAATGTTCGTCCTGATAGCAATTGTGAATCAGTTAAACATTCTTAACGCTGAAGTACTTGACGCGGATCATCACCGGCGGCATGGGATACAAGTCTACAAAGGTGATGGTATTGCACCGTGCGGGTGTTGCGAGAAATAGTGCAGCTGAGAATGCCGTATCACTTCACTGCCAGGTGCAGCATCCGAGATTAAGAAAGGCAGGGTAATTAGTTGTATGGATGGTTTTACTCGGATCGAGTGTAGAGTCTTGATGGTGATGAAGCGATTGCTTGACAGACAGCTCGACACCAAGCTGCTTGTCAGAAGGCACAATGTCTGGCTGGGCTCGATTTTCTGCAAAGCACATATCAGGACCGCTTTGAAGGCTGCCGAGAGAACCGGAGGACACACGCAGGTGCTTGAAAACAGCCGTCTGCGAGTACCAAAGCCCGAAGTGGTGATCACACTGGAACACAAACGCAGGGCATCATTCTCAGATGAGGTGTGCGGACATTTCTAGACAACCAGACAAGGCCCACTGAGAGTGAATTCAGTTCACTATTCTTAGTAGAAGAGGTGTGCGTGTTCGTGTTTGACATGAATGATGCCGGAAGAGTATGTCAAAACCGCTTCAGTGAGCTAGTCACCGACAAAGACGATAGGTCTTTTGATATTTAGGAATGGCACAACTTCCTGCCCAGCCACCGCTGTCAGACTGCAACATGTTTTGCTGTTGGTTCACATAACACAATAGTTGTCAAGCTCATCTCGATCTATAGCACTCAGAATTCGGACGATGTCATTTATCAAATCATCGCACAGTGAATGATTTCTCGCAACAGTGCGCACAGCATAGTTCCAGCTATTTTTCTTTTTTTGTTGGCTGCAGCAAAATAAAATTTCAGTCATCTGTTAGCTGATGCACAAATCCCTGTCCCCCAATATTAGCATCTGGCAGCCCAATATAAAGGTTATGTAAGAAAGAAATAAAGAATAAACAGGAATTTACTTGTGTATTATCTTATTTCTTTACAAAGAGTGTTGAGAATCAAATGCTTTTTAATGATCAAGCACTGCACAAAGGATACTCAGCTTTAAATCCTACTCCCAAGTAGTAGTGCGGAGTGCGTTCCACGACAAATGATTTCTTGACCAACAGATCACTTACTAGCACGCATCTACTGATAATCCCTAGCTTTCTACGAACAAAATTTCAATACAACCAGACTGTTGCGTCTATGAAAGCTCTTTTTTAGTCCCATGATTAACCCAATGTGCCGTTTAATCACTTCGTTGGGCCATAAAGCATTGGTTGTGCAAGCTCATCCTCATGTTGCATTCCTTTATTGAACAGGATACATTTTTTTCCGCACATTTAGTAATGGAGAAGAAGGATGGATCATAACAAGCCTACTAAATGCCACCCTATAGCACGATCAGGGAGCGAACATTTCTAGTCTGAAAAATATACCGTAGTATCTCCCTGATTCTATTAAAGCGGACGTCTAATTCGTGAGACATTTACTTCAGGAGCAAAGCAAATTGATTCCGTAGACATATTCTATGAATATCACCATGGATCAGTGCAAACACATGGAAAATAGTATTATTCCTTATCACGTCCCGTGCACACGCCTCCTGACCTCCTATCCATGTAATGGCTGCTTCCACCTTCTTTTTCCAATTACGAATCCCCACCGAGCCTCTAACACGTCGATAATAGTCCATCATATGGTGCACTCAGACCACTGCAATATGCTAAGATAGCAGCCAAAAAAGAAAATGCGAACTAAAAATAAGCAAAAGAACCAAAGGAAAAATAAATACGAATTGTGTGAACAAGAAGGAGCGCTATCAGCACGACTAGAAGAACAACAAAGGAAAAGACGAGGAGGATATTAATGTGAGCCTATGCCGTAAGAGATACAATACTGTTAACCTGGAACTGATCCGAACCCTGGATGTTTGTGTGGTAGATTGGTATGTGCCATCTCAAAATCTGAGCCTTTCTTTGAGGAAGAAAATTCGATTGATGCAAATTCAATGGCTAGGTGGTTGTAGGTAATAACACGTAAAGATGAACAGCATTGGATGATTCTCATGCACCCTCGCTGGTCCATGAGTTTTGTGTGTACAGCGGTAGATGTGTTTATTTGAGATAAATTTAGTAAAAATTATCGGCATTCCTGTGTTACGCAGAACCGAAACGAATGCTCAAAAAGTGGAGAGCACTAACTCATTGCGGTGGATGTTAAACAGCAACGCGGATCGGAGGTTCGGAGTACCGAATTCATTGGAAACAGGTTCTGCGTAAGGGTCGACGGTAACTACCAGTTGCGCCGCTCTCCTGGGATGGCCCGCCGTTGCCCGCAATTTAGCACCTGCTTGCACAAAAATAGAACATTAGAACTAAAGACGGCGGGTATCTAAGAGCATGCTTGATAAAACAGGTATGTGTTGGGAGATGTTAAATCTAGTTGTTGCTAAACAAGAACATGATTATCACCAGGTCTTGCTTTACCGATCAACTTGCAATTTTAGATCGTGCCGGAAAAAAGATGATGGGAGAGATGCAGGTGCACAAACCACGAGCAGCTGTACAGTCATATTTCACGCAAAAAATTAAATAAGAAAGATTGTGAACGGTCAAAAGAATCTCAACTCCACAGGAGTAGCTAGTATTAGCCACGGCTTCTCCCATAGAAGGAGCTCGTAACACCAAATTACGACTGCTTCATCACAGGACGTGTGGGCTTAAGAAACAAAGCTTTGTATCGCAGTCCCGCTCATAAAACCAAAACCAGTGTCCACGACCGGTCCCAGCAGAGTGAAAGCGTGTTTATTTGCTGGTCCTGAATTTGCAGATGGTATAAAAACACGTTCCAGTAAAAAATAATGAGTGCAGAAAAACTAACTTAACATTAGAAGAAGTAATAATCGTGAATTGATTGTGTGGCACAATCATTATACAGCATCGCTATTCATCGCTTCTCATTATGAAACAGAATTTTGGAAGTAAAAGATCAACTCATGCTTTGTATTGTCGATAAAGTCTGTTGTGATAATTTAATGCGCAGATGGTTGCTTCTCCGGACTGAATCCATTTCGGAGGACAAATATGTGAAAATGTACAGGGGATTCACAGATAATCACACCAAAAAGTGCATTGGTGGAGGATATGCTCAAGAAATGAGAATTATTGGCCCATAGATGTTGGGCAGGGTGCGAGAGCCTCGCCTGTGGATGGTATTCGACATGACACCTAGGCGACCCTTGCCGTTCTGCTTCCTGACATCTATGACAGAGATATAGCACCTCGATCTAAAGGTCTCAGAGTCGTGATAGGAAATAGCTGCACGAATGGGCTGAGAGATTCTGAAAAAGTATGTCATGCCAATGCCGATCAGAAAGGAAGTTGTACCCAGAAAACTGCGGAATGCCATGCCTACCGCAAAGACCATTGTGGTATCGTTGGGCTTGCTCAATCAAACTATTCGTGTGCGATTACACATCTTTAATGGAAATTCTTCTGCAAGAGTGACATAGTTAGTGTTTGGAATGCCAGATCCACTGGAATAGAACTCTGCCATGCCTTCCTTGACTATCGTGGATGCTGTTTGGAATTACATCGATATGAAGTCTGTCCTTTCACTGGGGTAGAGGATGAGACACTCTTCATCCCGGACCATTTCCAACAATATTCGGTGGTACTAGGGTATTATATCATGGATAATCGCTAGAGACAGACACAAAACCATGATACTGCTAATTAATAACGATTTCTCGGTTTGCCGGCACATGTTCCTTGGATCCGACCAAGAAGTGTTCAGCTCACATCCTAAAGTTAAGCAGTGGTTCATTGATCTACTTCATTGCATTAACGACAGTACGCAGCCAGCAATGCGATAGAGGCTTTCTGTAAATGATCATATTCGCATGCTGATGTGTTATAGAACAGCAGCAGTATCATTCACAGATTATGCGTACACATTGCTGGATAGTACTTGAATTGATGTTAAATTCCTTGGAATAGGTCCAACGACAAGTATTGCTGCGAGCAGACTAGCTCTTGCACTCAAAACCGATTTTTCATAGTCACAAATGGTCCACGCGATACACCTCTCTTTATCGTGCCTTGAACACGGCCCCATGTCAGCATTAAGTGAACTATCCTTCAGCAACAATAATAGGTTCACCGATCATCCATGCTGTTCTTTTTGCAGAATCCTTTTCGGATGATTCCATGAGATGTGACATAATTTTCGATTAATATTTTTGGCCTTGATGATTTTCGAGTATTCGCCCGGGTTTCGTAAACTGTATTTCTATAGCCGTGGCAATGTAAATGAATCGATACCAGACGTTTTTACGGTCACAAGCTTGGAAACTATCGACAACGTTGCGGTCTACACGGTTGAAAAGGCGTACGATACTAACGAAGAACCTACTGCGGACATAATACCGCACATAAAAGAGATCTACTGCCGATGCAACAAAGTCATCGATTACCAGAACTTAAGCCTGCTTCCATCTCACAACTGGCATGAGTACATCGATTTATGGTCGTGTCACAACTCCGAATTCAAGTCTACTCTTGACTTCAAGCCGAAGGCAAGACATAAATGCATCATATTAGGCGCGTTTTTCATGATACCGGACAGGCACACGTACTGCCATAGCTGCTACCAGGACAGAATATTTTACAACGAAGTAAACTGGAACATACCAAACGATGACGTAGTGTATATGGCGCTTTGCAAGCATTTTGAGAGCAATACATACTTTTACATCGCTGACAGGATAGAAATTATTTTGTTCGGTAGGTGCTATTTCGGCGATGTAGAAGACGGCCAGATGTTCCCTGCGCTCAAAATAGGTTTTAAAACAGTGAAAAACCGGGAGAACGAAAGCGAGCTGCTGAACAGTTTTTTCAGAGAAAAGATAATTTGTACCTTAACAAAGAATAAATTAGGAATTAAAATGCTGGACTATGATATTTCCTTCATTTCAGGAAGCACTCCGGCGGAAACCGTGTTATAGGGCATTTCTTCGGTTTCCGGTGGAATGTCTGTCTGGAATGCAATCAAATTATAATTTGGAAAACACACCGCACTCGGCAACAATGTGCCTTTTGGAACGCGCCCATTTATCATGGTAAAAACGTATTTTAATGAAGCATGCACCTGGCTATCATTTTAGCCACGCAAGCCGTGCAAAGCATCCAGACTATAAAGTAAAGCAAATACAGCATGTTTCGCCATCTCATCAATGTGATCTCAATAAATTCATAATTCCCCGATTTTATTTTGGAAAACTTTTTCGCAAAATCGTCGGAATCTCCAATTCGTCCGAACAAGTTAGAGCTCTGCTTGTATCTCTCAATCAGTACTTCCTTCCTCCCAAACATCTCATACAGCCAGTCTTTGGACGTGACTCCGTGCACAAAGTCCATGAGAATGAAGAATCCTATCTTGCCTGTATTTCTGAAGTATACATCCGTGTACGTAAACGTTTTTTGGGGATACTGGCGGTACGGCCTTACAAATAATGTTACGTCTATGATTCCGTCCATGGTGTCTGCCAGTTCATTGTACACCATGGTTGTTCCTGCTGTTCGCGGTATTAAGACATTTTGAGGAAGAAAGCTGCAGCCTCCCAGTTTAATATCCATTTTTCGCGAGTACTCCATCGACTTTTCGTGTGTATTGGGAACGAAGATTGTCCCTTCAGGGAAAAGCAGGAAGAAAAACCTATTTCTCGCACGTAAGTACTTCAGAGAGTCCCTTAGTGTATTTGAGTCCTCGCTCCAGCTCCGCTTAATAAAGACGTATCCGAACGCTCTCATGGTGCTCCCAAATATTGGTATCTGTGCAAGTGAGTTCTTCACGAGTATACACACGTCCTGGTACATGTCAAATTTCTGCAGTATAATCAGGATTATTAGCCAATCATAGTTCGTTTGGTGGTTGGATATTACCAGGCACCGCTTTTTCAGCAGAATCTGCTTGTTGTAGGCCACGTAGATAGGACGGGAAAAGAATATGCTTCCATAAGCAATTGTCAAGTGGAGCCACTCGCATTTCTGCCACATTAAGATTCTGCTACGAACACCCGGAAAAGGTAGCACTAACTTCAGCAGGCCACAAATCACGAACCCAACGATTACACTGGTTATATAAATCACTGACATAAGCGGAATTGCTACGTATTTTTTCAGGACACTGCCAAGAGACATTTTTGCTGAGGATTCCGCCCTACCAACAAATAAATGCAGCAATTCCAATTTTAGATTGATAAATCTGAGACAAAATACGATGTGGACCGGGATCACCGATACCTTTCATCAGTTCTGTTCGTGTTTATGGAACGAAAACGCAGTTAAAAAAATGTGACCGTTCCACATTATCCTCTTCCAGCAAACAGAAACATCCCATGATTAATTAAAATGCTGTCATTTCTGTGCCATAAATTGTGTTGCATCACCTGATCATGATTTATTTCATAGACACAGGCACCTTGTCTGTTTTTCACCAAAAGCACGTTTATTCATCTCCTCATACCACTTCTCTGTTCTCTCGGCATACCATGGTGTCGAGGACAGAGTAAACTGGGCATTGATGATAAACCGTGAGCCGAAGAGATCGGCAATGAAAACGGATGTAACTCTGGTTCTGCACCTGTGCATCATTTGTGCACAATGCCCAGCCATTTGTGCTCTTGACAGGCCGATCACACCGGCTTTTCTTCAGCTGATACAAAACAACGAAACGCGGATGTAGACCAAACATCGATGACAAAACAGCAAATTTTAAATGCCTGAACACGGATCTGATACAAATAATTTTGCTGTTCTCGTACGAGATCAATTGACAGTTGCGGATTACCAGGTGTTGTGTGCGCTGTTCTTTTATAGCACACCTACTTGCGGATGCTCATTTAGGACAAGAAATGAACGAGAGCAACCGCAATGAAGACTGGAAAGCAGCCATAACCACCGTTCCGTGCGTTGCATGTGCTGATATTGTAATCATGTTTATTTATGTTCATTGGATGCTACTGTCATCCTCCTGATGCTCGATTTATCACTACTAGAACGTTAATTTGCCACGTCAACATTAAATAGCAAATATTCCTCGGGTAAAAATTGCGTTTTATTATTACGAAGCTTTCAACGAGCAAACCTTCGACGACATAATTCTGCACTGATGGAAGCGTGACGCTGCCATAAATGGGTTATTGGAACAGACGGCAGGAATGCCTAATACCCGGTCTTCGCTACAACAATGATTCGTTACTGGTAAGAATGAAATCCGGTTGTAATTTCTCATACAGGGAAACTGCTGTCAGATATTTTATCTATTTTCTTTCCAGGTGTGCCGACCATTCTGCTCGATATCAAACCGTGTCTCAAGACGCCGCGGCGAATGGCACGCACAAATGCAGGAAAATACCGTGATGCGGACATTTTTCGGTATCTCCATGTTCGTTGCGGGCAGGAGCACGATTGCAGTGCCATTTAGACGCATCTTATCTCTGTAAGCAAATACAAGAATTATCATTGTTTTGTTCCGTAATCCAGCGGCTGTGCCCGTTTATTGCGAGATCACCCACCATGCTAACGACAAACAGCGACGCAATGCCGTTCTTTGTTCGCACGTGGAAACACACAACTCGCAAAAAGTACGGAATGTTGAGACCCTCATGTACGGAGAATTTAGAGACGGCTGCATAATTTCGCTGCAGCTCCACAACTTTCAAACCTACTCAGACATAAAATTCGATTTTCATCCGAAGTTGAACTTCATCGCCGGTCCGAACGGCTCGGGGAAAAGCACCGTAGCAAATGCCATAGCATTCATTTTTGGCGGGGGCACAAAGGTGCTGAACAAGTCGAAGGATCTTATGGACTTTATAAAGTTCGACACGGACAACTCGTACATTGAGGTAAAGATCAAGCACCGGGGCAAGGTGCTAACGGTGCGGCGGGTGCTAGTCCCCCTGAAAAACAGCTCGCTGTGGCTTCTCAACGGAAGCTCAACGGCATACACCAAGATACAGCAGATATATGCGGAACTGAGGATAAACATCAACAACATTTGCAATTACCTGCCGCAAGAAAAGGTGGCAGAGTTCACGCGGTTTTCTCCCGAGGAGCTGTTCAGAACATTTGTTGAAACGTACCACGAACAGGATATGGTTGAAAAGATAAACACGCTGATAGACATGGAGAGCTCATATGATGGCCTGTCGGGCGATCTCGAGAAAATATTGTGCAACAAGAGGGCTGTCGAGAAAGTCATAAGCAGCATGTCCAGGGACATCGAGAAGGCGAAGGAAAGAGAAGAGGCACAGAAGAGGATAGAACTGATAAATAGCAAGAAAAAGTGGCTGATCTACGAATCGGAAAAAAAGGAATATCTCATGCTAAAGACCAACTCGGTTAAGATAGACAACGAAATCGGAGAGATGCAGAGAGAGATCGAGGAGTGTGACAAGAGAATCAGAAGCAGCACTGATAGCAGGGAGGCCAGGGAACATGAGAGGAAACTGGCAGAGATTAGGGAAAGCAATGCGGCATTGCAGAGATTCGTCAGGAACATCGAGGACTACATGCACGACAAGGACAAAATTGGAGTGGACGTGAAGTCGAACGAGAAGAAAAGGGAGAGTGCGCTGAAGAAGACAGATGCACTAGAGGTAGAAAGGCTCAACAATATAGAGAAACTGGAGAACTTTAAATTGCCAGATAGACCACCAATGAGTGTTAATAAGGACTTTGACAGGGTGGAGCAGGAGATGATCGGGTTGAAACAGGAGCTGGCTGAGCTGCACAGACAGGGATGCACGATTGCAAGCGAAGTGGAGGAACTGACGAAAAGAAAGAACCTTATCGTTGATATAGAGCTGAGAAGACTTGAAATACTGAAGCACTACCATCGTGACACGTATGCAGCCGTGGTATGGTTGAGGAGCAACAAGGATAAGTTCTGCGATGAGATTATTGAGCCGTGCATACTGAGCTTGTCGCTCAAGAACACAAAGTTCATGAACGAGATCGAGGGCTTCCTCTCGTACCAGGCACTCACGTCGTTTATATGCAAGGATTTCAGGGACTTTGAGCTGCTCATGAAGACACTGAAGGACAAGATGAAGTTGGCGATAAACGCGGTGGAATGCAATTTTAAGGCAGAAAAGGCACCCTACACAGGAGAACAGATCAGAGCACTGGGATTTGACGGATATCTCATCGATTATGTGGATGACCGGAAGGAGGTTCTTGATTTTCTGTCGTCTATGCTCAATTTCACAAGCATTCCCGTCACAAAGAACGATTTGGACGAGGTAGCGGTCTTTAAAAAATACAACTTCGCAAAAATGGCCGTGAACAACAGGTACCTGGCCATAAAGAAAAACAGGTACGACCACCGCGACTTTACAATAATAGAGAACAAGCTTCCGAAGCTGAATCTGTTCAACAAATTCACATCGCACGACGAGCTGGCTACCCTGGAGAGAAAGTTAAAGGAAATAGAGGGTATGAGGGCCAGCAACCAGAGCATGTATAAGGAGAAACTTGAGAAGGTGGAAAAGATCAAGTCGTATTTTGAGAAGATCAAAGCAACGCGGGACGAAGAGAAAATGAAGATGTACGAATACGAACGAAAAATGGGGCATAGAGAAAGACTCGTGAACGAAATCAAGAGCCAGGAAATCCAGCTGGAGCGAAGCCGGGATCTCAGCGTGTTTGATGCGCAGCAAAAACACCTGAATAGCGTGATCGAGGGTATCGAGGTGAAAATCAGGACCGATTTTGAGCGATTAAAGTCGTTCGTTACGGAAACAGAGAAGGATTTCTTCCGAATGGTAATGGAAACTGCGAGAATGCAGCAGCGGTGGCACTCGCTCATGGCAGAGATAAGGGACTTGGAAATAAAACGGGAGGTGAAGAAACACAAGATTGATGAGCTGGGTACGAAAAAGGCGTTTTTCGACAAAGAAAGAGAAAACAAAAAAAAGAGGATCAATCAAATCAAGACAGAGCTGGTGAAGTACACGACCGAAGAGATGCCGTACGTTACGGAGCTACCGGAGGATATCGAGCAGCTGGAGAAGCGCATGGCCTCGGAACTAGCAAAGATTACATTTCTGAACGCCGACAAAAAGGTGCTCAAGGATTACAAGGAGAAGGAAAAGCTGCTGAACGACTTCCATTTAAAGGAGTTGGAAATAGAAAACACGCGGAAAGCCTCCGATCAACACATAAGCAATCTCAAGGAAGAACTCATCGGCAGTTTAAACGCGAAAGTCGCGATTGTGAACAGCAATTTTTCGGCTTTCTTCCAGAAATTGAACTTTGACGGAAAAGTGGAGCTCGAAACCGAAAACACAAAGGCGTCTAGATGGAAACTGAGCATCCTGGTGAGGTTCAGAAAAGAGGAGCCAATGCAGCAGCTGTGCTCATACATACAAAGCGGTGGAGAGCGCAGTGTTTCCACAATAATCTTCCTTCTCTCACTCCTCGAGGCAACACCTGCTCCGTTCAGGCTTGTTGACGAGATCAACCAGGGAATGGACGCGTACAATGAAAGAATGGTGCACAGCATCCTCATCAACCTGATCAAGAGCGAAGACTCACCGCAGTTCTTCATCATAACGCCAAAGCTTGTGAACGATCTCGATTTCAATGACAGCATGCGCATATTCGTTATATACGCAGGTACGTTTGGCAGAATGCGGAACAAATTCGACGAATACAAGACCACACTTCTGCAGTGACGTACCAGCCTGTTTATTAAAATACGTGCCTGCCCAACATCTCATCAACGCATCTCCATGCGGACACCGGCCCTGAAAGATGATGTGGGTGTAAAATTATCTGTGTATTCGATGGCATTTTCCACTGTAAAAAACATCTGGTCGTGCAGCAAGTGCGGTGCGAACGAGAAAGTCACCGGGCATGTGTATTCTGCGGCAATTAGCCGGCTTGTGATACATCTCAACCAATATAACCGCTTTAATAAACCAATGCCTCTCCCTTCACCTTCTTTTCTCCACCAAACTCCACATGCTTGGCACGCCTGCACACCTTAAGCTCAATCTGTTTGCATTTTGTGCATTCAAGCTTTAACACCAGTTTCTTGGTCACCTTTGCCTTCCTCCTCAGGATTGGCTTGGTCTGTCCATGGCACCCCTTCTGCTTCCTCTTATACCTCCTTGCACCTTGCCGTCTCGGATTTTCCTTGCTCTTCTTAGCAAGACTCTGCTTCTTTTCCTGATAACAACCGCACTTCTTGCAGTATGTCCGTCTAGTCTTTGGAACGTTCACCCAATTAAAGCGAATCCACTTACCATTTTTCTAAGGGGCTGAAATTTTTGCTGAAATATGAAAATGAGCATACAGTGCATGATCGGAACGGCTGTAGCCATACATAAGCAGTCCAAGTTACAAGCACACATTCAACTCGTTCAATACTTTGCTATTGTTTGAATGCGAGCATAAAGTGTCCGGTTGCGATACAAGTCCAATTATCGACTAATTCCGCGAATACGATGGATTGGCATTGATTCCTTTGTCCTAAATGTGGCAATGAGGATGGTCGAATAGCAAAGACCTGTTTTATTGTTCGAAGATGTTTGCTGGTGCCAGCACAAACGGTGGGGTACCAGGCACACAAAATAATAGGCCGTATAAGTAAATTGATTTTGATCGGCAGCATGAGACCAGTAGCAGCAGAATAGGTGTAATCAACAGCACTATGAAAGTTTTGGATTGCATATCAGGTAGCCCTGAATTACAAAATATCTTTTAGCAGGTTGCTAATGATTGGTATTTAATACTAAATCCAGCCATATAGGGTCAGCAATCGCAAACACGTGATCTTGAGCGGTTCCTTGTTTGACAGAAATGTGCTAATAACGGCCATCCAGCAATCGCCACCCGTATTACGGTATGATAATGCGGTTCAATGGAACAAGTGACAAAATACGTACGTTTTGATAGCATTATGAAGCATATAAATGAAGAAAAACGATCCCGAGTGTTGTTAGCCAACTCATGGAAAGGCAACGTGTGATCTGCTTCGAGTATGGTGGGATTTAATTTACCTGTTTGTAACGAGCAACAAAAATTATAAGATCGGGTGAACAAATCATGGCACACCACTTATGGCCCAGATCGTGCAACGTGTTTATTGGCAATAAGCGAATGGAAGTGGTATGATCGCCTGTATTAGAAGGATGTAATGTGATCTGTATGGCAAGAACAAGCATTTAGGATTTTGGATGCCCTAGCGGGATTGACTGTCATGCACTTTCTCTGGTGCCTGCAACCCGAATTCTTCTGTATAAATGAAAAATACCATTTATGAAGGCTTATTGGCAAAATTTACACAGGTTATAGTGCCTATGAACGAATAGTAATGGTACCCTTATAATTTCCTCATTGGCTCATGTAAGTTTTGATACATGGCAGTTGATGAGCACGGTCTAGGCCAATCAGCGGAAATTATATGATCTTTCTGTGTTGTATAAGGCTTAATCTGTTGTCCAAAGATCTAAAAATGCCAATTCTTTACAACATATGTTGAACTGCAATGTAGATCGAAGTTGCTAAGTTCTGATTTTGTCAAAAGTAAACGATAATCACTAGTATCGGTGCTCCTCCAAAAGGACTCATAAATTATCCTGCATCGGAACCATAGACTTATACACAACCTAGCTGCTAGGATCTTTATTTTGTAGTGTAGTAAAATGCGATTATTCATCAAACAGAAACATTACAACCCGTTCCTGGAAATGGCAGGTTGTTCAAGTTTAAAATTGACGAAGGACCAAACCAATTTTGAATTCTAAAATAATGCAACGGGTAATGAACGAAGCTAAGCTCTCTATATAGGCAATGCTTGAAGAGATTTGGAACAAGACAAAACATCACCAAGGACATCACTAGGGAAAGATGATCCGATACTCATTTTAGTGGGAATGAGTTTTACGAATTCAAGAGAAATTGGATACAGAGATTTACGATCGATAAGTAGATGAACCTGGATTCGACATTTTTACTAGCGGGAGTTTGCGTGTAAGGATAGATAAAAAGGACTCAAAATTCAGCATTCTGAATTAAGAAGGCTGATATCTTTCGTTCTTTATGCTTTTCTTATATTGCTTTGCTATCATCGGCTACTTAAGACTACCCCACAGCACAAACATCTTTTCTTCATTATTTGACTTGCATCTCATAAAAGAACGGATTAGTTGCATATTAACATTATAATCGTTCTACCGTACTGCTTATAGAGAATTTTTGGATAGAAAGGCAACATCTGTTAATCGTTTTTCATATTTTGGTCTAGGAGAGACGAGTTATAACGTGCAACTGTTTGTATACTCGTTGCCTCTTGAAATCCAATCAATACTTCACTTACATCACGAATATTCATTTCCACATGAACAATTATGAATTAAATCCCTATGTCAGGATGACATTTACAAATCATTAGCCATATTACACCATCAACACGATATTTAATGGACAAGAAGTCAGGTGTTTTATAAAATTAGAAGACAAAACATAACTGGGTAATAAACGCGCAAATACAACGCATTACAATTAAATAAAAGGTAACTTACTACTCCCAAAAAATCTGTGCTGTTCATAAATGCAAAAACATATTAATAACAAACGAAAATAAGCTATGCTTACTAATGCAGGAGAATTCAATATATTATTTAGGCAAAATAATGACTTAAATCGTAATATGTGTTACCATCTGACTACTTCGTAAAAGTAGAAAGGGAACAAATTAGCTTATGTTGAATTTCAACATGAATAAACACACGTTCTCAGTAATTTTAAGAGATCTAAACACTAAAATAATTAAATAGTCGAGATATAGTGCATTTATGCTGTACATGACACTACTATAAATTATATTTACCATATTGTGTCTTTAATTGCAAATAATAAAACATGTTACGCTACCACTTATGATATAGCTATTTGTTACAATTTTTTATTCCTATTCAAAATATTTGACCAAAATTACCACTTATTAAATGTTCAGCAACGTTTTCTTTGATAAAACAATATCTATTTTCTTTCAGCTCGTACATTTTATTACCACTGAAGACTATTCTATGGTCTACAGGCGTGATGGTATGAATTAAAATAACTAATGGGATGTATTGTGAAGAAAAATATGATTTAGGAAGAATACACGTGTATTTTTATGATGGTGCCGAAAACATGAACATTTACTTTTTTTCTTATTCGTTACACACATAGCCAGGTGTTCGCCAAAAAGCATCGCAATCTATGAGCTTTAATCCACTAATCGTTGATTATGTTCTCTAATAGTGAGCTGAAAATGCATGTTTACTTGAATAGTATGCATCGGATAGTAAATAAATACATTTTAGTAAAAAAAAGCATCTATATCTTCAAAAGCAAGCTTTAACCGGTAGTTTCTTTTGGCTCTCATGTAAAAATTGTGTGTGTTCTTCAGAAAAATAAGCTTATAATTCTATAGAACCGCTATCACCTATACCGTCTTCATTTGTTTCGAATGTACATTGTCCAAACCATTAGTTCGCTTAT